CTGCAAGAAAAACTTGATAACACACTTGATGACAATACGCAGCTTTAAATAACCAAATGTAAAGTTTGTTAAGAAGTTAAATGCCCTGTGATGAAATCTTCCTGCTCTGCATCAAGAAAATAACAAAACTGACTCTTCTTTGCTCTGCTGAGCAACAGAAAGGACTGAGATGTACCTTGCAGAGTCCTTACGCATCCGCCTGATTAAACTGCTGAGCCAGCAAATCAATTGCCAGAACACTTTCTTTAATGCAGCTGCTTTTGTCCTCTGTTAGATTCTGATGTCCTGCTTCTTTATACACTTTTTATTTGAACCCACAGTTGAAGGTACTTTTTCCTCGTGGGGAGCAGGGTCGCACAATAGATCTGATTCATATGTGAAAGCGTCTCGTAAAGCATTTGATTTATGACTGCGCAGCATCTGAATCCTCTCTTGTGCAATGTTTGCGGTAAACAGCAGACGAGGACAAAAGTGAATGAACAAAAGGAGAGTCAACACCCTGCTCTCAAGCTCATCGTGCACCAAGAGTGATTGCATCCATATGGAAGGAGAAATTGTGACTGTTTGTTTGTCTTGAACTGGGTTAAGCTGTTTCTTTTCTTTTCTTTTCTACAGGCAGATTTTTGGCATTTCGTTAGGCTGAGCATACATGGCCATTATGTTTGTCTTTATTGTTCCTGATCAGCCCTGTCCACTTAAGGAAGTTTAGAAATTAAAGTTTGTTATTCAAAGATTTCCTCTAACTTAAATCACTTATCAGCCTGTTAGATATATGTCTGATCCGAGGACATTAATCTTATATTAACTGCATGATTGGACACATACTGTATAATGAGATTTAAAGAAAGCAAGAATAAGAACCGGTTAATTGTCAGAAGATAGCTTTTTTGTAATCCTGATGACCATTAAATGACCACAAAAACACGAGACTCCTCATTAAATCTGAAGTTTGCTGCAGCTGTTAACCTCTCGTTTCACAACAAGCCTCTCTAACCTGCGTCCAACGTCTCATGTCATTTTCACCTGTCGAACTTTGTAAATATTTACTGGCGAGACTGTGGCAGCACTGCAGAGGTGCTACAGTATCTGTCTGGAAGTTCTTCACTAAGAAACATATATACATATATAACATAACAAATTAACAACTTCACTCGTTGTGCAGCTGCAATGAAAAGGGAAATTAGCTCTAGGAAGCAGAGTTTTAGATTTTGCTCACAAGACATTTTATCACACGTGTGTGAGTGGACTGACTCACTTTTGGACTCAAATGGCCACTTCAGGAATCACGGTTTTTAGCACTCCTCTCTCTCAGTGGCTTGATGCTCCCAGTTTGCTGCTTGGTTGTGTGGAAACAAGATTTTTGATGCTGACTGAACAGTGTCCCCTTTACGTCAGCAGTTTCTATCAGATCTCTACGCCTTTGATTACAATGTAATGCAATGCTGTGCTTTAAAAACGTTTTAAAAAGTTACAATAAAATGATAGATATAATTTCCTAAATCTTTTTTGTTAAAAAACCTTTGAATTAGCGTGCCTGCAGATCATTCTTTGATTCAAATCTTTTTATCTTTTAAGTGTTTTGGCAAACGTAAACTGCCATTTCCCTCTTCTGTCAATGAAGTAAATAATTTGAATGGCTCGGGGAGGATATGGGAAGGTGTGTCTGTCGTGCCCGCAGAGGTCATTTAACAAACACGGTGATGTCATGGGAAGTAGCTTCTTCACAGCACTCAGTTTCCTTTTCATGTGAACAGCTGAGCTGCTTTGTGCAGCTGAAACTTTCCTGCCTGGGCCTCATAAAGCTGATATACCCCCCCCCC